CTCTGCCCCTTTAAAATAAATGCACAAGTTTCATTATTCTATTTTCATACATACATGTATAAAGTACTTTACATTTTACCTGCACTTCACCTTCTCCATATGCCCTCTACTCTCCTATATCACACTACCAAACAGGCTTGTTTTTAATCCCTGTCATTCATTTTTAAAGTATATTTTTCCATATAAAAGTAGTACTCAAAGTACCAGAGTCAGTACAGGTATGCATAAACCAAATAATGAATAAAGAAAATGTGTCATATATACAAAATGGACTATTATTCAGTCATAAAGAAGAAGGAAATAGTTCTGTTTCAAGGAAAATATATGGAATTGGAGATAATCATATTAAGCAAAAAAGGCCAGACTGTGAAAGATAAGTATTTATTTCTTAATATTACCCTAATTCTGATACCAGGCAGAAGGGACCACACTACTGAGAGCTGAAGTTGGGATAATGTTGTACAGAACATTGAATCTCTGTGCATATGCAATATATTATTGGTCACTTGGAGGAGCCATTAAGTTCCATTCTTATACACAAATATCAAAGTGACTGACATGAACTGAAAATTTCACTAAGGTGTCCTCACATTAAAAAGAACTCATCTGTTCTCCTTCTCTGTTTCCTGTTGTCATGGTGGAGATCAAACCCAGAGCATTGCACATTGCAAGGACTATCTGTACCGATGAGATACATCACCAGTGCTTCATGGTTTTGAAACAGGGCCACACTATGTATTCCATGCTGTACTTGAACTTGAAATGTGGTCCATATTGGCCTAAAACTTGTGACTCTTCTGACTCAGGTTCTGGAATGCTGGCTTTACAGGCATGTACCAACACACTAAGCTCCCTTCTTGACAAAATGAGACTCCACTGTACCCTGGAAGGTGTATGTAGCACCTCTCTCTCTCTCTCTTTCTGTCTCTGTCTCTGTCTTTCTCTCTCTCTAATATGAGCACATGAATTTTTGAGACAGGTGACAACAAATCATATCAGGACTGGTGATTGTGGCCAGAGGGAATGAAGGGCAAAAATATGGATGTTTTGGTGTTTCCAGGAAGGGAAATGAGACAGTTGGGGCATAAGAAAGTGAGCATGACTAAAACATTCCTGATGACAAAAACATGCTGGAGTGGGAGAAGAATGAGATTGCCTGGATAGATCATGTTAAAAGGGAACATAAGAATGAGGTTCACTCATAGGTTCTTGTTTATTATATTGGAGTTACATGTAAAGTAAGTTTTTCTTCACATACTGAGATTTAGAAACAGTAAGCGACTCTTCTAATGTAAACAGAGATCATATAACTCACAGAGGGAGAATTGTATTCAGATCTGAATTCCTTGAATTTATTGGTTTGCCTCTCTTCCTCTTCCTTGTTGAAACTGGTATAGTATCAATGCTCTCAGTTAGTGTTTTTCTCCAGATAGACAAATGCTAACCTGGAGTGTGAAAAATTTGCTTCTTTTCACCCCATGATATATGGGAACATCATTCTCTGTTGTTGCTAAACTCTCTTCCATGGAATTTACTCCTCTTTGTCATCAACACCTAAAATTTAGATCACATATATTCATACTATAGTAGAAAATATCAAAGATTTAGAAAGAGTGACTTTTTAAACATAAATGAATAAAACTCACCTTTGCCTTCACCAGTCCACAATCATCATACTTACCTGTCAATCAAATCATTGAAGTGCAATGAACATTAGATAATAAAATACATCACCTGAGATTATATCAAGAACATGGAATGAGCACAATTTCACTCTAACATTCATCTTCTGTATTCATTCCAAGAACACATAAAAATGAGAATAAGTCAGCAACAAAAGAACAAAGAAATAAACTCAATATTTCATTAGAGTTTTTCAAGGTGTTATGACCAATGGTGAACAGAAAGATAAAATCTATAGAACAATAAAAACACAGAAATCTGAAGTCCATCATGTGGGGTAGGAAAAAAAGTCTTTTAGAGGGAGGGGCTTTTCATGCAAAAGGGAAAATGACACCTAGAATAGGATATGGATAAGCATTGAACATGCAATCAGGAAGGATCAGAGAAGAAACATGTAGCCACATGTGGACATCTGTCTGCCCAATTTTTTGTTGATGTTCAGTACGTGCCTTGTCATAACAGAAGACAGATGTGAAAACAAAATATCTTATTTTCCTGAGCTGCATTAGTTTATATGATGAGATGATCAGGCTGATATGATAAAGCATCACAGAATACTGCAAAGTGTCAACTATCCAGTGAAATTAGTACTACCAAAATACCTAAACATTTGGTAAAAATGTTGTGGTCACATGACTTTGGGGGTGTTAGAATATTAATTTAGAGAGTGTAAAACATTACAGGCTTAAGGTTAGTTAACTGATTAATTTTTTTCTCTACTAAACAGTCAGTGTGACACAGAGCTCCTTTCATGCTGGGACTTCCCTCTCCCTTTATTACTCAGCAAGCTACATGGTTTTCATGCACATACTCATTGAAGGTGCACATCATTTTCGTGTTGTTTCCAGTTAGTGTGCAGACAAGAAAGCAGAAGAAAGTTAAGTATTTTGATAAGAAAAAAATTCCTACAAGGCAAGAATTGATAATCAGTTGGCTAAGTCATTCAGAAGCAAGAGAGTGTTAGTGAATAATACTCAATGTTGATCATTGATGCTTGATCATACCCTCTCACACACGAGCAGGAAAAGAAAAGGAAAATGATCTGTTGTTCAAAACCCGTGAAAGGAAGCTGTTCTTCTGGAATGTGAACTGACATAGCAAGCATCCAGGATATTATCCACTATAACCACAGCTATGTCATTACCTTTTCTGACTTGTGAGCTATTCCATGTGCTTCTTCACAACAACTGATAAAGTGAAGTAGAAGCCGAGAAAACTTGGCTTATTACCTCCTGCCATCTTCCAATATCCCTCTCCCAATGCCTTTTACTGAGAAATTACCATGAACCAGTTTGCAAAAGGGTCTAAAATGTGAGACTTCCAAGCCTTTAGTTTTAGGAATAGGGATTTGAATAGGAAACACCAACTCTGGAAATAAGAGCATATGGAACCAATATGGAAGAGAGCGAATACATTCTACACAGACTTATTTTTTGCCTAGTTGGAAACTGTTTGACTTACGGAAAAGTGAATAGACAGTATTTGTTTATTTCAACTTGATAAATAAAAACATAGTATAATAAAAGGACCAACAAAGCTTTATATAAGCACTACAGAGAAATATCTATGTATGAAGGCAAACTGGGATGAGAGTGAAGGAATCATGCCTTGATGTCCAATATAATTTGTGGGCATATCCACAATTGGAGGGATGAGGTGTGAAGATGTTAGATATATGTACTTATAGGATTAAATGGTTATAGTAAATTAGTAAATGCCAATAGCTAGAGTCAACAAATTTTCTATTATCCCCTTAACTGAAAGGGAAGTTGAAGAAATGTTTCCTGGCCATGAGGTATCTTCTTTATTAACTTAAGGAAGATAAATACTCTCAAGGATCCAGGTAAATGTCAACACAGCAGTTTCCTTCTCTATATTAAACATCCTGACCTCATTTGCTGTGCTTCTCCCTTGTTCTTCTGGAACTAATTGATAGTTGGTTTCAACTTGTTGCAAGTGTCCTTTCCCATGTAGCATAATAACAAAAAGGTGTGTTGTCATCATATGCCTACTTTTGCCAAGTACTCAGTACTCCATGTTTGGCGCATCCCCTTGATATTTGTGATTTCTTATCCTTGCATCTAAGGTTCACAGTGTGGTTATTCTCACAATGAACTGTGTGCACCTCAATCATGGCCCATAAATCTGCTGTCTTTGTGATGGAGAAGAAGACTTGATAAGGTGTGGGATGCACTGTTGCAAACCACTCCTGTCTTTGGAATCCCTTTCAGTAAGATATGTTCCTGAAAAAAACAAGCATATTTTCAGTGGTCCATGCTGGTCTTAGGCTCTAGATATGTGAGTTAGTAACTTTCATTCTCATACTGAACTTCAGAGTTAGAGATTTCTTTTGTGTCTCTGATGTTGCAATAGGCCCTGGTGAGAGGGGGTGCAGAATATCTCTCCTTGCTTCAGGGAATCAGGTTTTGAATTCTTGGACACCAGGGTCTTTTGATTAGTTTCTGACTCCTCAGAGTGGGAATATGTCTGTGAGTAATTAGTATATTGTTGTGAAGGGGACCTTTAGAGTTTGCTTCTATGGGTCCTTATTGACCTCCCTCCCTAACATTACCATTGTTGGACTGAAAATCTGAAGCTCTAAAATGTTGTCAATGTCACTTATAAGCAAAATCTGTGCCTGTAGGTTGAGGCTAACAAGAAAAGGTGGAGCAACTGTATTCTCCAAAAGAAATTCTCTAAAAGGGAAATAGTGTCAAAATGCTTTAAAGTACATATATGGCGAGGAAGTCAAAGTTGGAATAAAATTCAAAGTCGAGGATTAGTTTGTTTTATATTTGCTGAATGAGCAACTGAAACACACCTCGTCTGCTGTCATGCATCTCAGTGGTGAAATTCAAAGTGTGTCTTCTTATGTTCCTGCTGTCCCATAACCAAAGTGCTCTCACATTCTTGTCCTCCTTGTGTTACAACCCACCCATAACTGTGTACTGAGATGGGGAACAGAGGTGTTATCATCAAAGTTCAGATGTAAACTGAAACCTCTGGAATAGCTCCTAGGGAGTCTTGAATTGTCACCAGAAAGGTAGTACAGAGTTCCCTTATCCAACGCTTTTGGACTCTGGCCCATACAGGAAGTAGGAAGCATGGGGTTTCACACTGAGGGACAGCTTCAGCCGCCATTGAGGAAGGAGGGCTGCCAGCCAGGCCATGTGACCTGCCACAGGCCTCTATGGGCAGGACCAGTGAGGTTCACTAGGTACAAATTGCCCTGGTTTCCACCCACCTGACAGGATAGTGAGCTTGAGTCAAAATTGCTCATTATTTGTTGTCAGAAAGGACAAAGCAAGTAAAATACCATGAGGCTGACTGTGTTTCTCCTAGTGGTCACTCTGGCACTTTGTGGCCATAGAGGTGAGTGTCATTTGTCACTGTTTTAACAAGAAAGCCTGGTAAGTTACCTTTTCTAAATATTATATAAATTTATTGGTAGTGAGGTAGGGTTAAGGAACAGACCACTACTCTAAAATTTCTCCTTGGGTTCCTCAACTCACATGTAAAACTGCAGGGCTCATTAATGTATTGCCACACAGTGAGGACCTTTGATGAGAAATTTAGTATCTCTTAACTTTAACTTCTTAGATCAATTTTCACCTGCTTGCATAATTTAATTCCTCCAACCAAACTTCTAAATACCATCTGTGAAAACTTTAACAATTTACTTTATTTCCCCAGGTTTACTCTTGTATTCTGAAACTACAATTCACTTCAAATTGAATGACCCCAAATTTCATCTTCCCTCATAGACTAGATTAATTAACTGCAACTCAATTGACAAAGTTCAGTGTTTCAAATCTAGAAAATGGGATGTCAGCTAGCCTAACAAGCTTTTCAAAATAGCGAATTTGGCTTAAGTCAAAATCTTAATGAGAGATCAGGAAATCCCAGTTCTTTCACTTGATATGTGGTCTTCAGGAAGTCACACCTGGAGGGTCTTACACTGCCATGAGATGGGAATATAAAACCTGAGGATCCTGTCTAGTATCTAGTGTCAATTCAAAGAGTTATAGACAAAAAATAATGAACTTTTCCTTACTTAATTATTTTTCTCTCATGCTCCAGCCACGGCAATAGTCTGTCCAAGCCTTCTTATTGAAAACACCAATATCTTAATGGGTACTCCTCAAACAGCAAAGTTTCAACTTTCATTCTATGGGGCACCACAGGAAGCTGTTGATGCGCTGTTGAAAGTGAAGGAATGTCTGGATAACATATCCTATTTATCCAGACTCTCAATTGACGTTGCACTGGTAAACTCTTCCTTCTTTATCTTCCTCTGGTCATCCACAGAGCCAAGAATGAGTTTGGCTTGCCATTCTATTGGTGACAGTGCTGGCGGGTGGGGGCACATGATTTTCTGGACTTCTCTGGTAGGTTGATACAGAACCACAGGGAAGATGCTATAAAATAAAAACTGTACTAAATTCAGATGTTCAGAGCATCTTGGGTAGATTCTTCCTTCTCAGGTTACCTGCATGGATGCCATATTCATTATGGTTTCCTGAGAAGGAAAACTTGAATTACAGGAGGGATTATTTCCAGATCAATCCCTATAGTCTCTCTGCCTTGAAACTTTCCTGAAATAGAGTTCTATACCCCAGTGGGTTGCAGTCACTGTGGAATGTTATGGAGAAAGATTGGATAGAAGGGAATGAAGGAGTTAGGTGGGATTCCCTGTTTGCTTCCCAGTATATGCAAAAGAGGCTGTGTAATTGCAATATACACTTCCTAAAGGGCCCTTCATTCTTTCCCTGGTATAAACCCTTGCTGTTCCATTGGACAGCAAAGTAGACATCAGTTGTGACATATGACAGGAAATAATGACTGAGATGCTCTTTCCTACCCAATCCCCTCTCCTTTCCATATTGCATGAGCCACACCTGAGTCACCACAAGGTGTGTTCTCTAATGTTCATATTTTTGTAGCAATTGTACCAGCTATATTAACTACTTTTTGAGCACACTTTTTTTAAATTTGTCTTCCAAACTATGTTTGTTGATAACAGTACATGGACCCCTTGGTTTGTTAACTTGCCATATGTAAGAACTGTACGGCTGATCTCATAATTTTTTCCTTCCTTCTTTTTGTTCAATTTCAGGGAAAAGTTGTGCTCCTCTGTTAGCAAGAAATAAAAATATTTCTGATTTCTACTGTCTTTCCTGGATACACTAGATCTCATGGAAAAAATGTAAAGGTTTCAACATCTTGGATTAATAAATTGATTACACTGCATATTTCCACTTCTCTATTACTATTCCACAGTATTGAGTCCTTCATTGGTGGTACTTTAATAATGACCTTTTCAGTTGGTAGTAATCAAATCAAGAAGCAAAATCAAGTGACTAATGTCAGTCTCAGTGTCAGGAATCACAAAATTATTATGCATTACTTTGCAGGTTTCCCATTTCTATAGCCATGGATGAAAATAGTAAGTAAGGATAACCAAAAATGCCCTTCTCTGTGAGAAACCTCAGAGCTATGAGACCATGGTCAACAGATTGCTCAGGCTCTTGAGATCTGCCTTTGCTGACTGCAGTTTTGCTGCTGGCTGGGGCTGAGAATTCTGAGCCCAGGTCCAGTGGATAGCTCAATTTTGTAGATTTAAAACTTAACAAAGACTGGTGGAGTGGCTCAAATGACAGAGTGTCTGCCTAGCAAATCCTACCAATTGTGAGGCCCTGAGTTCAAGCCCAGTACTACCTATATAAATAAAGAAAAGAAAATAGTGTTTAAAAAAAACTTAACAAAGGTATATAAGAGTAAAACTGCACCATTGGTCAGATGGAATTAATAGACATCTTCAGAATATTACAACCATCACCTGTGAAATATACATCCTTCTCTAGAACACATTCAAATTTCTCCAGAATACAGCTCATTTTAGACCATAATGCAAGTCTTAACAAATACACAAACAATGAAATCATTTATTGTACCTTAACTGATTACAATGGAAAAAAATTAGAATTAAGTAAGAAGAAAAATTACAAAAACAAACACATGGAGTTTGAACAATACATCTTTGCACGATCAGTGGTTCCTTGAAGAAGTCAGGCAAGAAATTTTTTTTAAACGTAGGTTGAAATGAAAATGAAGTCTATCAGAATCTTGCAACACAGCTAAGGAAATTTTAATAGGGAAGTTTATCATTTCCTATATGAATAAATTAAAGTAATCTCAAACCAATAACCCAAAAATGTACCACAAGTTCTTAGAAAAAGAAGAACAAGACAAATCCCATCTTTTAATGAAATAATCATAACCATGGAAGAAATTATGAAATACATTCTGAAAGAACAACATAAAGGATCAGTGAAAAACAATCCATTCTTTGAAAAGATCTATAAGACTGACAAGATGTTATTCAAAGTAATGAAGAAAGAGAAAGTAGAAGTAAATTAATAATATTATAAAGTTGAAAATAGGGATATTACTAAGGTACTACTGAAATTCCAAGGATCTAAGAGAATATCTTGCAAAATGACTTTCCATTAAATTGGAAACTCAAAGAAGTTCAAATGGGCAGTAATTACATGAAAAATATTCAATAATACCATTATTCATAAGGAAAACACAAATCAAAGTACATTGAAATTCCATCTCACTCAAGTCTTAATGGCTACCGCTGAGAAAATAAGCAATAACAAATGCTTTTCTAAGCAACAAATGCAGAGAAAAAGGAAACATAATACATGGTTGGTGGGAAGGTAAGCTAGTTCAGTGACTATGGAAACTAGTATGATGATTACACAAAAAAAAAATCTAAAAATCCAATTACCATATGATAGTAAGTTATAATGCTGTACCAGAAGGAGTCTAAGGCAGCATATAATAGAGATACCTGCAAACTCATATTTACTCTGGAACATTCTAATTAGTCAACTTATGAAATCACCCTTGGTACCCAACAACTGAAGATTAGATAAAGAAAATGTATGTCTACACAACGGAATTTTATTCATCCATGAATAAAAAGAAACTATTGCAGTTTCAAGGAAATGTTTGAGATCACCATGTTAAGGAAAATAAGTCAGACACAGAAGCAGATATGGCAGATTTTCTCTCACTTATGGAATCTGGATGTTTTAAATGACATGAAAGTAAAAGGAGGACTGTTTGAGAAGCAGAAGGTACCAACAAGAGGGCAGGGTAAAAAAGGAAGGGTAATGGAAGGTTGAACATCACAAATGTATGTATGAAAAGGTCATAATGAAACCCATTATTTTGTGAAATTCATATAAGCTAATCAAAAGAGAAATCATAATCAATTATAACTAAGAAGGGATGGAGATAGGGAAATAGAGTTAAGATGTTTGCATTCTTATATATGCTTGGGGGGTTTATGAATAGACCCTATTTTCAAAGGGAATTTGACAAGCTCTATTACTGTTAGTATACCACTGCAAAAAGAAAGAAGTCTATTTCTTACAGTTCATTTAATGAATTAGCACACATGCCCAATGATTTATGTTCAGGGATATACAATTAACTGTTTGTAGGATAGCAAACATTTTCCAACTGAAATGACCAACAATAAAGCTTAGTTAAGTATATGTTCATCCATCTTAATGCTGCAAACCAAATAGATAAACAATGGAGTTCTTCAGTGCTCTCCATATTTTCAAAATACAGTTTCATTTCTCAGGTCAGGAATTAGAATATTCAAACTTGTACCATAATCAAAACCACCCTCTTTTAAAATTAATGTACTTTATTTCCTTCCCTATACATCTACAATTTCTCTCACAACAAAGAAATAAAACATGGCTTCTAATAGAGTGAGGGCTTAGAAAATAAGGAGAGAGAAGGGAATGAGAAAGCTCTTAGTTACCTACACTACTGTGTAATGGGCCCAGGTCTTTGCAATTAGATAGATGCTTGTTCTCACAAAACACAGCTTTAAGAGTGATTCAAAAAGCCCAGTTAAAAAGATGGCACATTTTTATGTTTTACAAAGGAATCAACAAAAACCAAAGAGTTTTAGATAATGTGATAATATTATAAATCTAAAAAATAATAAAAGAGTTGGAAAAGTAGAAATAGTGACACTAAAGTAGCATATCTGTATTGTAAATTAAAAAGAAATGGTATTATAAACAAAAGGAAAGAATGAGAAATGGTAAACCAAATATATTAAATAGATAGCATTGGAGGATTCCAAGATGGCGGCTAGAGGGAGGAAGAAGAAAGCCTCCTATAGTGAAATCTTGGACAGATTCTGGAGACACACCCTGCAGGCAAAACTACCAAGAAGAGGCAAAACTTTGACCTCTCCTAACCTCCAGCCAGTGCAGAGAATCTCCACTTCATGTTGAACGGAGAAATCAGGAGGGCCCCTGGGCCACCAGTCACCCGTGCCCAGACGACTTGGGAAGATGAGGACAAGTTTTATCCTACTTTATGTGTCACCTTTGATGAGACAACTACAGAACAACATCTGAAGCACCATCTCCAGGACTGGAGGCTGAGACAGACACCAAAATTATTAAGACTGAAACTTCATTGCATTTGAACTTGGAGGTTTTTTTTTTTTTCATTTTCTTTTATTATTCATATGTGCATACAAGGCTTGGTTCATTTCTCCCCCCTGCCCCCACCCCCTCCCTTACCACCCACTCCACCCCCTCCCGCTCCCCCCCCTCAATACCCAGCAGAAACTATTTTGCCCTTATCTCTAATTTTGTTGTAGAGAGAGTATAAGCAATAATAGGAAGGAACAAGGGGTTTTGGTGGTTGAGATAAGGATAGCTATACAGGGCATTGACTCACATTGATTTCCTGTGAGTGTGTGTTACCTTCTAGGTTAATTCTTTTTGATCTAACCTTTTCTCTAGTACCTGGTCCCCTTTTCCTATTGGCCTCAGTTGCTTTTAAGGTATCTGCTTTAGTTTCTCTGCATTAAGGGCAACAAATGCTAGCTAGTTTTTTAGGTGTCTTACCTATGGAGGTTTTTTTTCTTAATTTTCAATTTTTCATTTTGTTTTATTTTATTTATATACATATATTTCTTTTACTTACTATTTTTTATTTTTATTCTTATCTTTATTCTTTTTATTTTTATTTTCAATCCTCTCTGTGTCTCTCTAATGCCTGTTCAGCTTACTGTTGATTAGTACACTGTCTCTACCTGTTTATATCTTTGAAAATTTTTTGTTTGATTCTCTGTTTTGTTTTTTCCTACTTGTCTGTTTGTTTTTCCCTATTTCTTTAACTTCTTTGCTTTCCATCTCTTCTCACATTTCCATTCTAA